GGCGTGGGTGGGCTGCGGGGCGGGGCGGGGCGCGGCAGGTAGGCATCCGAGACCAATACCTGCGTGGCAGCAGCAGGGGCCGGAGTGCGCGCAGTGGCCACAGCAGTGGGGGCGGCGGGAGCAGCGGGGCCGTGCGTGCGCTGGTGCAACAGCAGGTTGGAAGAGTGTGTGAAGGTCTTGGGGCACAGCGGGCAGCGGAAGGGCCTCTCGCCCGTGTGCACGCGCTGGTGCTGCCTCAGGTTGGTGCTCTGCGTGAAGCTCTTGCCGCACACGCCGCAGGCGTAGGGCCGCTCGCCGGTGTGCACGTGCCGGTGGCGCCGCAGGCTGGACGAGTTCTTGAAGGCTTTGGGGCAGTCGGGGCAGGCGTAGGGCCGCTCGCCCGTGTGCAGCCGCAGGTGGTACTGGTAGTGTGATGACCACTTGAAGGCCAGGCCACACTGGCCGCAGGTGAAGGCGCGCAGGCCGGTGTGCACACTGCGGTGGATCTGCAGCAGCGACGAGCGCTTGAAGGCCTTGGGGCAGTCGGGGCACTGGTAGGGCCGCTCACCTGTGTGCCCACGCTGGTGGTAGAGCAGCGCAGAGGAGCCCTTGAAGGCCTTGGGGCAGTCTGGACACTTGTAGGGCCGCTCGCCTGTGTGCGTGCGCTGGTGGTGCAGGAGCCGCGACGACCACCGGAACGACTTGCCACACTCCCCACACTCGTACTGGGCCGCTGGGGTGGGTGCCGTCGGGCCCGGCTTCTCCCCGGCCCCTTCAACCGTGGAGGCCGGCGCCATATCCACGTGGGAGCCAACCATCACACCTGGGGGGAGGATGCGAGTCAGGGTGGCTGTCCTGCAGAGTCACAGGGCACCGCCCCCCAGGGTCACAAGAGGGCCAGGCAGGGGCCAAAACTGGATTGAGAGGGCCCTGCCCCAGGAAGCAGCTGTCTCCTCCAGACACAGGTGCCCGAGGCCACCACGCACTCTGGGACAGCACCACCTCAGGTCCATGCCAGTGAAGGCAGAAACTGGGGGAGGGCATCCCGCTTCCCTCTGCCTAATCCCTCACTTGTCACGGAGTGAACAGCCCCACATGTCCCTGCCAACACCCAGCTTTCCAGCAGCCCCTCACACGCCCAGCATCACACGTGGAACACCCTTTCCCCTCCTGCTCCCAGCACTGCCACCCCTGAACACCCTCCATTGGACCTTGCCTGCCCCCCTCCTGCATCTCCTGACACATCTGCCCCCCCCCAGCGTCTCCTGACACACCTGCCCCCCAGAGCATCTTCTGACACATGTTTTGTTTTTCTTTTTCTTTTTTCCAGGGGGAGACCTTTATTTTTCTTTCTTAGGTTTGATTTGTTTATGTGTTACTTAGGAATCAAACCCAGGGCCTCATGCATGCTGGTAGGCACGCACTCTGCCACTAGGCCACATTCTAGCCCCCAGGTTTTGGACTCATGGCTTACCTGAATCTTAGGCAGGCTCTGCCACTCAAGCCACACCCCCTAGCTGGTTTCCCATCTCTTTAAAGAACAACTCCTCACCGCCCCCTGCATAGGCAGCCTTCCTTCTTTCCATCTCTTTACATTGAAGATGCTCAAAGCCAATGGTCCTGAGGCTGGGAAGGTGGCTCAGTGGTAGAGTGCTTGCCTTGCATGCATGAGGCCCTGGGTTCGATTCCTCAGTACCACATAAACAGAAAAAAGCTGGAAATGGCGCTGTGGCTCAAGTGGCAGAATGCTAGCTTTGAGCTGAAGAGCTGAGGGATAGCGCCCAGGCCCACAGTTCATGCCCCACTACTGACAAAAATGAATAAGTAAATAAATCAATAAAAATCTCCATGCTTCCATTAAAAAAAAAAAGAGCCAATGGTCCTTTCCTCCTCAAAGCACATCACATCTATCTCCCCACTTCACGCATGCCTGCCCCAGCTACTAAGTCCCAGAGCTGTGTCCCCAAGGGTCCATCCACAATTCCTTCCCTGTTCATCCCCTGACTCCCAGGATGCCTCAGTCTCTACCACACAGGTAGACTGGGCTGAGCCAGGCCTGCTGTTCCTCTACCTGCCTTGTCTTTCTCCTCCTTTCAGTAATTTACAACTTAGGAATGGATGACTCCAAAGGCTTGTACCTCAAGTGTGACATGTTGGCACACACTTGTAATCCTTACACTTAGAAAGCCAAAGCAAGAGTGATCTCAAATTAGAGGACAGTATGAGCTATATAGCAAGATCCTATCTCAAAACAACAATGTGTAGACCATCCTTTGTCCCATGGCTGATAGACTGGGCCAAGTGCACATCTATGATAGTTTAGACTTTTTTTTTTTTTTTTGTCAGTCATGGGACTTGAACTCTGGGCCTGGGCATTGTTCCTCATCTCTTCAGCTCAAGGTGAGCACTCTAGCATTTGAGCTATAGTGCCACTTCTGGTTTTCTTGTGGTTAATTGGAGATAAGATTCTCACAGACTTTCCTGCTGGCTTTGAACCACGATCCTCAGATCTCAGCCTCCTGAGTAGCTAGGATTACAGGTGTGAGCCACCGCCGCCTGGTTTGCCCCCTCCTCCCACCCCCCAAGTTCTGGGGCTTGAACTCAAGGCCTAGGCACTGTCCCTGAGCTTCTTTTGCTCAAGGCTAGCACTCTACCATTTGAGCTACAGCATCACTTCTGGCTTTTTCAGTTTATGTGGTACTCAGGAATTGAACCTGGAGCTTCATGCATGCTAGGCAAGCACTCTATCACTGAGCCACCTTCCCAGCCCAACATCTTAGACTTAACATGACCCAAATCTAACTCCATTTTTGTGCTCCTGTGCTCCTTACCAGAAATTAAACATGAAAAACTCTACTTAGCCCAAAGCCTCCTCTGAAAATGGGGATCCATTCTTCCTCACTTCCTCTGTCCCTGGACCCCTATCCTGCCCTGTCAGCAGATTCCTCTGCTCCAGTTTGAATGAAGTCCCAAGGCAGCCTCTCTCACAGGCCCCATCCGGTCCCCAGGCCCGCCAGCTCCAACATTCTACCCCAGCTCCATCTTGTCACCCCTGCCCTTCCTACCCCAGTGCCTTCCCAACACAGCTGCTAAAGGCTCTTGTCCATAGAGAGGGCAAAGTATTTCATTCTTGTGCTGAAAACCCTTCCACAGGCTGAGGGGGCTGTGGCTCAAATCACAGTGTGCTTGCTTAGCATTCTATCCTCAGTACTGGGGGGTAGAACCAAGAGTTGCCAGGAAAGATCAAACCAGTTGGAAGGTGCAGGCAGGAGAATCTTGAGTTGAAGGCCAGCCTGCGCTACATAGTAAGACCCTATTTAAAAAAGAAAGACACATATTGCACATATCCCAGATTGGGGCAAAAGCCAGATTTCTCAGCACAGCCTGTGACCTTGTCCCCTCCCTAACTTGTTCTACTAATGTCTCCCTGCCATGGAGGGAACAGACCCCCGGGCCTCTGCCTGGTGCCCTTCTGGACCCTCCGTGTCTCCACAGAAATCCCATCAGTGTAGTGCCAACAGCCTGGTCAAGTCTGAATCCCTCCCAACCCTCCCATCCTCAACCCTCAATGCTGGTTGGTCTCCATTGCCTTGATCACCTTCTGTGCACCACACAGCCAGGGCTTTGCAGCCTCAGCAGTACAGTGCTGGGGCCGGGCTGTGCTGCCCGCGTGGTAGGATCTGGACCCAGCAGACAACTAGAACCAGGCCCGAGTGACCCTGGCCTAGCAAGTCCTCCTCTTCCACACTGTACAAAGCTGGCTCTGGCACCCAGAAAGAAGCTGCACTGTCACATTTAGGGGAGCGGTACTGTTCAGGCCATACTGTCTCACTGACTACGAATGCTACATCAACGCGTGCTTCCTGTTTCATCCTGCCTCCCTACACCAGAATGTCACAGCCGAAAAGACAAAGGCCTTTGTCCAGTGCCAGTGCCTGCCACGTCTGTCTGGCAGAGGGTAGGCTCAGTAACTGTGTTTTGAGTGAACAAAGGCTGGGGATCCCCTCTGGACAGACTAAAGGATTTTTAAGGGGTGTCTCATATAAAATGCAAGCAGGTCTTCTTAACGCAGGCATATTAAAAAGAAAAATAAAAGAAATGAAATGCCAGTTTTCTGGAGGAACGGGTCCATCTTAGCTGAGAACGCCCCCTTTAAGAGGCTGGACCACACCCTTGCAGCAGGCCGGCCTTCTTGGCTCCAACTGCAAACCCAGCTCCACCTTTGTCCAGGTACACTAAGGAACCAGAGCCAGGGCTGCAGCGCTTCCTTCGCTGTCTAAGAAACCGCCACTGGCTGCAATGAGATCATCCTCTTTAACGAGGGGAAAGAACAAAAAAAAAATTAAACTTCAAAAGAGGCGAAGCCTGCCCCTCCCTCCACAGCAGCACCATACCCTTTAAGAGGGCGGAGCCAGCTCAACAGACAAAAGTCGGAGGCGAGACGGCAACCTTCCCTTTAAGTCACCCCTTCCGGTTTCACATCCGCCGTTTCCCAAACTACTCCGCCCTCCGGCCCCTCCCCCGCCGCGCCCTCCGGTCTCTCACCTGCGGCCCCTGTCTTGGGGGGACACGGGGGAGCCCCAGGACCTTCCCGCGGGGGCCGACGGGAAGTGGGGGCTCGGCACGGAGCGGCAGGAGCGGGGGCCGGGGAGGGGGCGGGGGCGCGCTCCCTC